TGAAACTTCTGTATGATTTCTGCGTACATCTTCTTTCATATGATATGTGTTAAGTTTGCCTATGAGGTTTTGAAAACACTTCTGAGAACTGCTCAAGTGCAAGGGGGTCCTAAACAGAATTATCGTTTTTGAAGAAGCGGTAGATTTATGCGTTTTGCGGCTTCTACTAAGGGTTGCAGCTGAGTTACCTGTACAAGTGCTGCGGCTCGTTTTGTTATTAACTCTAGATCGCCTGCCAACGCTAATAGGCTGGCGACCTAGCGTTAATAACAAATATCCATCAATCTAGTGTAGGGAGTCTTGAAAACCAAAGTTGCTTCATCTTCTAGAGAACCTCTCATGGGCAAGATTTACGAATTAAATAAGATGAAAAATATGAAACTCGAACGACTTCCTGGTGATCAAATAATTGTTCATATTCATATCGACGGAGGGAAAAAGGTTTGCTTACCTTATCTTTCTACTAACTTATTTACTGTCTCAATATGTCTTGGTATCCTATGTTAAGGTGAAACTAAGGCTATCTGGAAAGAGTGCTGCAGCATGGGCGGCTAAACTCATAAAGTAAGTATGGTGTCCAGCAAAGAAAGAGAACGACTTTATTTTTCAGCATTCAAGGAGAATCATTGGGTCATCATACTCATCCAAATGTTGATTACTCGCAATTTATGAAGAAAAAACCTGTTGCGCAAACAATAGAAAGGAATTCACCGCATCCGTGAGTTTTTTTTTTCCAAATTTAGGATTTCAATAACTAAAAGCGCCATTGGATTGCAACACCAGCTTAATAGTTCACGGTCGCATATAAAAACTTATTATACTATACTATATATACTTTATTAAGCAAGCCATCATCATCGTCCTCAAATGACAGCAAATTTTCCTATTCAGTAACACTGCAAGAAGGTTCTCAATCTAGCGATGATGGATATGGGTCAATATTTACTATTACTTTCATTTTTACTCAAATGTACGGATGACTCCCACATAAATTCAGATTAGCAAGAAATGTTGAAGAAGATGCTTTACTATGCGGCGACTTTCCAAGCATTATAGACTCGGCTAAGTTTGACGTTACTGAACGTGCGAGGGGTGGAAAAGTGCAAGAGGATTTTTCGGAAGTGCGTACTACAAAGATTAACTTTCTTGAATGAAAAATGTTAACTCTTAAGATGATCCACACCATTATGACAACTTCTTCGCACACATCCTCTAATAGAAGATTTATACGGCAGCAGGTGGATGAGCTTATCAGGAAGCACATGCAAGAGGAGGAGAAAAGAAAAGAAGTCGAGTTATTTAGCGCTGCCAAGAAGAACGTGGAATCCAATGATTCTCTAATGTAAGCTACAAATTTTGTTGACTTCTTTGCTGGCAACCTTGGCAAAGGCTGTATAGTACACTGGGAGTTTCATGTTCCTTATTGACCGGGGCATGTTATTTTTCGGCTTTTTTATAAATATTGTGCCGAACCCAGTTTTGAGATCTTTATTGTCCGTCTTTTTTAAAAGCTTGGAAAAAATCCAGTTCTGATTTAATACCAGTCAAAGATCTCCTCCTATAGTTCGTCCTTAAGACGCTGAGTAACGGACGAGCTATCGATAATGGAGCGACCCACCTTGTTCTACCGTCTTAACCGTCAGTTGTCCTAAGGAGATTACTAACTGTCACTGCCGCTCAGCTCTTCAATTTGATACGTAGAACCAAAGCTCTGATCACCTTCACTGAGCGTAGAAAGGTAGGACTCATTAATAGAGTCTAAGTAAATGCCCGGTGCGAAGCCTCGGGCGCAGACTTTCTGCAGATTAGAAGTTTGAAGTTTGAGAAGTATAGAGAAGGTAGCTTCTGCTTTTTTGATAACGAAATAAGATTATTAGATCACCATACATAAGAAATGTGAATACTAGGAAGGTTAGAAAGTTTTACATGATAAATGGAATGATGTTGCGATGACAGAAATCGAAATTGACAAAGGCCCAAAATGGGAAGAGTAAGTGCTCAATTCGCTCAAAATTGACAAAGGCCACAAAATGGAGTAAGTGCTCAATTACTGCGACTGCCGGTCAGTGGCTTCCGTTGCGAAAATGGACTACTAACATAACAGTGGAACAAAGAATAAGTTGGGTCTCAGTGTGTTGTGCCTAAGACAACGTCTTTAATGCCGTGTAAGAGGAGATTTTATCAGAAAGAACGGTCTCAAACCTTCGTGAACAGAAAAGAGATCAGGCAATAAAGATCCCTTTAGCAGATTCCTAATTGTATGGAATTTCGGTTGATAGATACTGCTAATCAATAATTTAATTAGAGGTTGCAATGACTTTGCTTCCGCTGCTAAATCTTCAGACAGGCACAATATATTATACAAAATAGTGAGAAATCATAAAGTAGTATTAGGTTGTGGCTTTGATCGTGCATTTTTCTGCCGCTTATGCTCTCGCACTTTGCAAATATTTTGAAAATAGGTTGGTCCAAAACTCTTTTCGTCTCGCACTTTAAATGATTATAAAACCTTATTTGAAAACATTTCGACAGACTGATTCTGTCTATTGTAAATCTGCCAATATCGAATAAATTGTTAAAATATCCGCAAAACCCCGTCGTGCGAATTTTGTTGATGTTTAGTTTCTTTTTGGTTTAGCCAGCAGTCAGAACATTTTGAATCAAAGTGTTTAGAAGGAGCAGTTTAGGCTTTTTGCTAAACCAGCAAATTCTC